ATAGTTGCAAAACTAATTTCCTGCAGTTACTCCATGATTTCCTTGGTTTTTATGCAGTGGTGGAGTATAGGATCCAGCCCTACGACATCGCAATATTAATTAGGTGATATTTTTTGTAAGGATTGTGGTTAGTTTTGGAGTATTCCGCTTACAAAAAATAGTCGTGTTGTTTGCGGCGATGTCTACACTCTTCTGCAGTAGTAAAAATAGACCAGTTTTTTTCTTGTAATCAATCCTTTTTAAGAAAACTGGAACATCGGGAAGATACACTCTCATCGTTAAGGATTAAAGCAACAACTTTCAATTAGTAAATTTAAGTATCACCAAAGTTTTGAGCATTAACAAGTTGAGCATAAAAATCTTAGCGAGAAGAAACGTGTTTACACATACACATATCATATATGTGTATATTCCACATATTAACATATGTGAGGAACTAGCTTCCAAGAACAAAAGTTTTATCATTTTTAAGCGGAAAAAAGTGAAATTTTTATGGTTTCTCAAAATTTATGCTTCACTGTTTAATAGGTGTTGCCCTGTCGCTGGGTCGGTCTCCAAACCATGGCCTTCATTCATTTGTCTTTCCATTCCATTCAAAGTGTAATAAAATTCTTTAATGTTCCGAGCACATAAAGTTTTATGGTCCATTGATATTCTGCGGCGCTGCATTTATTAATCACAGCTAGTTTTTGTTTTTTTTTTTACTTTTCTCTTTTTCGCTCGATCTCTAGTTAAAGCTACGAATTCTCACACGCGCTTAAGTTGGAAAAGCATAAGTAAAGTTTTATGGGAATGGCACTTGTTTAACAAACTAAATTCCCTTTTTAAGACATTAGCCATCATATTACGTGTATTATAGTATAGAAAATCTGTGAAAGACCGAACATCGTCTCATTTGGAGCCTAATAGCCCTATAATGATATCAAAAATTTTGTTCCGATTTTAAGCCAGTTTTTTAATGCACTTGGACTACTTAGTGAATCTTAATAAATCGCTTACATTGATTTCGATCACATGGCAAAAATTATTTACAACAATGAGTCTAATTAACTGAAGTCTTTATCTACCCCTTCTGTGTCTTTTCAGCTTATCCTCGAAAAGGCACGCTCAACCTTCCTGCATGCTTACATATAAGGCAATGACCTGAGCTGACCTCCAGCTTAAAAAGAATATATGAGCCACACAATCCCATCTGTTTTTGTTTCTTCCAAGTATTTTTCTACTTGCGACAGCACGAGTTTCCTTGCCCCTTGTTTATTTGCTTCAGTAGCAACTTGCTTTTGGTGTGAGGTACAACAAAGCATTCTTTTTCCAGCCAAATCTTTTTGGTTGTCCTTTTTTCTGTAAATTCATGAATCTTACGATTCTTCTCTACTTCTCTCACATCACGTACGAGAGACAATCTGAAGAGGTCAGCGGCGTTCAGCATGCATTTAGAGTTTAACGTAATTGAATCTAGGGTTTTGTGACTATCTTAACAAATTAAACGATGTAAGATCTTGATAAGATACTAAAGTTTTTAAAAATATTTTCTCTCTAAAATCACCGATAAGTCCAGCAAAATCAGGATCATTGTAGAACCGTTTAAATGCTGTGGAAATAAGGAAATCTCTTGATACATTGCAAATCACTAAAATTATTTAAAAAATAAACCAAAATTTTCTCTCTAATTTTTTACGTTTTAATAATATTTATGTGCCAAATCTACTATTACCACTACTTGAATGCAGCAAAAAAAAAAGCTACTGAGATGACACAGTCTCTGTCATTCATATAAATGGGTGCGCTTGTCTGAGATCTTTATTTCGAAATTCCAACTGCGAGGATTGTAACCAAAAAGTAAACAAACAAAAAACTAAATAAATTTTAAACAAGTATGAGTAAAGATTTGTACATGCACTTAATGATGAGCATACATATACATACATATGTATGAATATACATCGCATACTCTGGTGTAAAATCTACTTCGGCAAATTCATACTCGTTTGTACATACATAAATGCAACGAGTAGCTGCCAGGCAAATTATGACAAATACACGCGACATTAACCCAAATCACTGCAATAACATTCACATACTGAGCTTCCACCAGCGACATCGCCTGTAATTGCCAATCATAAACAATCACACAAACAAATGTGAAACGATCGACCGCAAGCTGTGCGCAACACCAAAGAGCAAAACGAGCAGTAATAATTCAAACGTAAACGCTCATCTGAATAGTAAAAATTTATAAAAAAATAAAAATCTTGTAAAAAAAATTAATTTAAAAAGATAAAATTAATTTTTCTGAGTCGTATGGATAGTAGGGAGTAGTAAAAAAGTATTGTTTTTTAATTAAAACAATTTTCTAATTTTCCTTTAATACATAATTTTTTTTTGTTTTTATTAAATTTAATTCTACTTAATTTTATTTTATTTTATTTTATTTTATTTTATTTTATTTTATTTTATTTTATTTTATTTTATTTTATTTTATTTTATTTTATTTTATTTGTTGTATTTTATTTATTTTTTTTAAATTACTGAGATTATTTTTTTTAATTCAATTTCTTATTTTATTTTATTTAATGTATTCTACATTATTTTGGTTTATTTCATTTTATTCAATTTTGTTTAATTATTTAATTTTATTTTATTTTTGAGTTTTTGTTTGTTTTATTTTATTGTAATTTATTTATTATATTTTATTCTTATATTATTTTTTAATTTTTTCATTTTTTCCTTTTAACTACCCTATGAAATTCATTACTTCGTATGTAGAAAACATTTCTTAAAACTTCTAATCTTATTTGAATTAACTGAGCAACATCCGTGAATTTAATGTTGTTGCATGACAAATATGCCAACAATAAAAAATGTTAATAAAATGCAAAAACTAAAAATCTTCAAAGTGCAATATCACTCAGCAGCAACTTATTACACGCGATGCTAGAAAAAATGAAGAACAACAACAAAAAATTTAAATTTAAAGGCCAAATGCCAACACACCGATGACAAACATCAAAAATGCGTAGGCCGATCTGAAGAAGCGCTGCACCTCTGGTCACACCACTTTTGTCAGCCAACTCTACTCACTTCTTGCGTAACTACATACATACTGGTATGAGTACATAAGTTTGCCTGTATGTAACTGTCGCGATTGCTAGAATATCGTTGACTATGTTTTTGCCAACTTTAACAGACAAAGTACAAGGTAGAATTGTGCGGCAGATAATGCCAACAGCTGACCACATGCAGCGTCATTTCAATTAAATAGCGAGCGCGTTATGTTGTTGGCACCGCCGACAGCGGCTTAACACCATCTCACACCCTTAGCGTGTCTCTCAACAGGCTTATTCAGGCTGTACGCGGGTACTCTGAGTCTGCGTCTAGAATTTATTTTCGTTTTTTTCCATTTATTCATTTATTTATGTCTGCTGTTTGTGGCACAAATGAGCGATAATAAATAAATGATTGTGTTCGATTGCTAGTAGTTAAAACAACAACAACAACAACTATAGTAACATAAAAAGGTGATGTGTTTGGTATAAGTAATTGTGTATGAGATTTTCGCTGACAAAAAACAAGCAATCAAAATAATAATAATCACAAAGGCATTTTCTGTGTCAGGGTTCAGTTGTAAGTTATGTTGACTGATAAATGCGTAGATACTTCAAAGTAATTCTTTACGCACCCTGTAGAGAGATGTAACTTAAAGTGTTTACATTTTATGAACAGCTTTTGACTTAATGAGTGAAAGAGCAGACTGTCTAACTTGTTTAGGATCTCGGCTCTGAAATGTAAAAAGGACCATTTGCACTCTCTGACTCCTTCAGAAAAAATGCGGTGGTTCTGATGAAAATTCTCATTTGCTAACGAAACAGACTACATCTGTGCCAGCAACGCCATCAAAGGCCTATCATTCCAATAATTCTATAGGTGAAAGCAGGAGATTTCGATGGGTTAGAAAGGTGATGAGTGTGGGCAACTAATGTGCCGGGTGATGTAACAAACCTTTGTAGAAGCTTTGCCTTGGCTAAATCAGAAGGTTTTGGTATTTAACCAAACTGCTCACAATATGAATGCATTCCAAATCTTAAAAGACGGAAATTATAAATTGAAAATATAATTCTGCGATCTATAGAATCTATACTGACCCATGGTTATTTTGTAGCACTGCCTTTATATGCCGGAAGCGTTACAAGACCTTAGGTATTCCTCTAAAATCCCCTGTTTCAACTTTTAAGACGCTTCAAGTTCGGCAACAATCGGTAGTTCTGGCACTAGCTCGAAGACAGTGTTTCAGAAACCAAATATCATCTCCTTCACCTGTTTTCGCTTGCAATTTGTCTTAAAAAGAACAACAACTAGCTAATTTTAAGCTCACTACATATGTACTTATTTCAGCGCAAAACAATTTCCGGCTGAGCTCTTCTTCCGTTTCGAGGATAGTCATTACGTCTCGATGTTTTTCCCAGAAATAGAGGGACGTAAAGTTTACACTAAGCCATCTCCGAACGATGAATTGTTTTTATGGGATGCTTTTTGTTTCATGCCAGATATACTCTTGGTAAGCTTGACATTCCTTTCGGATGGGCAACCACAAAAATTTAAGTTTCTATAGGTTTTTTTTGCGAAAAATAAATCCACTAAGCTCAATTTTTTTCCTACAGACCCATTGTTTCCATTATAACTGTGTATGTGGTTGTATGACTATTTGCGAGCTTACTCACAGATCGGCTAATGACCGATCATTTATCTAGTTCTCGAATCACTTTTCAAAATACACACACACACACGCACACGCATTGACGTGCACGCATATTTATTATTGATTGGCTGCAGCTGGTATAAAAGAAACCCTCAATTATTCTGATATTTCTAACGAGTTTTTAAAATTATTCATCTACCCATGACTTCTGCGGTTGCATACTATTTTTTTTTTTAGTAATCAGTCACGCATTTTGTTTAAATATTTTTTAAATTTATTTTCGAATTTCGTTTTCATTTTGCAGAATTTCAACTGTGAATGCTAATGACCGTACCACACAACAACAGCAGCAGCAGCAGCAACCTTCGGTGCAACCACAGACACAGCAATCTCAGCAGAACTACCAACAGTCACAGCAACAACAAGAGCAACCACAGCAACCGTCGAACAGCCGTCCATCAACACCGAAAATGGCCAGAGCAGCGGTTGCGTCGTCCGCAACAACATCAACTACCATAATGCCACCAGCTTCTGGCAATTCCACAACTGTGTCAGTCACCTCGAATGTCACAACGGCCACAACCACCGCCGCAGCCACTGCTGTTAAATCACCCGCCCATGCGTCTACTGACAACTGCAGCAGTCGCAATTGCAGTAATGCCAACAACGCCGGTACTGCAACACCAACGTTCACCATTCTAATTGCCATCGAAAAGTCGAGCCAAATGTGCGTAATCGACTTAATTTGCCAAAGTCTGCGTCTGTTGACAAGGCAAATTGCGTATTGCGAAATTCTTGCTGTTTGCCTCGAACACAACTTATTACAACAACAAGAGCAGAAACAAAAACAGCAACAGCAACTTGTATTCAGCAACAATACAGCTGTCAGCAGTTGTACTAATGGCGAGAATAACGAAAGTTACATAAAGGTGAGTTGTTTGCGCCCACACATTGACAAAAAAAAAAAACGAAAAAAACAACGAAAAAACAGCAACAACAGAAAGTATGCAATAATAACGGGTGTTTTTTCGACAAGAGGTTTTCAAGCGATAACAAAACGTTGTTTTGGCCAAAAATTCAGCTTTATATTGAAATCAAGTGTTTGTCATTATGTTTTAAAAATGACTACGGGTAAGTGCCCGCTGATGATGGTTCGAATAAGTTCCTCCTGAGAAGACCAATGTCAGGAAAATCGCGTCAAATATTACCTTTTAAGTCGTCAATCGTCTCGGGCTTATCTGCGTAGACTAGCGATTTCATATAACTGCAGAAAAAATAGTCCAGCAATGTTAAATCGCAGGTAACGCCCAGGCTCACCATGCGAGGTAATATGCACACCAGAAGACTCCTTAAAAAGTCGATTATTTCATCTGCTTGAAGCAAGTAGCGCCGTTTTGTCAAAACCAAAGGTCGTCCACATCAACATACTCCAATTCAGGCACGAAAAAGTCTTTCATCATGTCTCTATAGCGTTCCCCATTGACTGTAACATAATGGTCGGCTCCATTTTTGGAGAAATGCGGTCTGCATTTTGTCTAAATACTTAGAGCACACCTAACAGTGATGGCATCTCAAGAATAGCTTGTGTATCATTACCATTCCGAAATTATCAATATCCATTCAAGTGAGCTTCAAAACTGAACAAAGCCTCGCGCTGAAAATCGAGATCGGTGGCCATCTTGTGTCAACGTGCGACACGCTTGATGGTCTTTCGGCTTCCATTCTTGCTCGTTGGATTTAGTAAGGCCGCATATCAAGATCCTTCCCTAAAATCTTCCACAAAGTGGCTGGGCAAAGCTCTACGCGATGGCGTGTCTGTAGTAATTCTAGCCAGGCGTAGAACATACACATCAATGCTGCTATTAGCAAAGATTTTTGGCCAAGAAAGACCTGTTTTATTTCAAAAGCACTCACTTTCTCCTTGTTTATCGGTTGAAAAATGAACACTTGAGGCTTCACTCTATCCTAAATCAAAAATGTTTCTCATAAAAATCCATCAGCCGGCCGAAGGCGAATTGGAATAAATTACAGGTTCTTCTACTTGTTAGAAAAATATCACGACGCGGCCAAAAATATGTAAGTTTAACTAATCTCGGTTGTACGCGTTGTGACAATTAAGTAATCAGACTAATTATATTGCCGCGATTGTGGTAACCCTGCGACTTAGATTACATCTCCCTTCTCCCGGCTTGCTTCTCATCTCCATTGATATATTTGCCATCGCTGTAGCTTGTTTAGTTCGCGGTGCTGTCTCGTATTGAGTAAACGTGTGTTCGTGGAGCTCATCTGGAAAATGGAAAACCGAAATCAAGATTAACGTGTCGCAATAAAAGTTTGCGCCAAATCCGACGAAAATGCTTCCGAAACGTACGCTAAAATTATAAAAGTGCATGGTGATACTGCTCTTAGTCATGCCCAGTTGTTTCGATGGCATAAAGAGTTCAAGGAGGGGCATGAAAGCGTGGAATACGAAGCGCGAAGGGGGAGACCAGTCGAGATGCGGACTGACACGAATGCGTGCCCCAGTATATGGCCTCTAATGGGATCCTCGTGTTGCAACAATCGCCTTATTCGCCCGATATGTCACCCTATGTTTCTTTTTTATACCTGCAGAAGTTCTGTCAACCCAAAGAAATGGTAAATAAAATATCTGTCTCTATTCAGAGCAAAGACCAAATAGTTTCGTACCAGATTCTGTAATTACTTTGAGTTCTCGCATCGGCCTTCGGTCTAATTTAACCTTCAGCTCCGTTTGTATCAAAAACTTATTGTCAATTCAAGAACGATTTTAAATCTAGCAGAGCTTTGACGGAACATGTAGGGTCAAGAGATTCTTCCACCAATCATTTCTGAGCTCACTGCAGTGCTTGGCTGCCTTCTGCCCCTCTCAACTAAACCACTCACTTTCTCAAAAATGACATACATAAATAAGCCACTAAGTGCAAATGTTCGCTAGAGTAGCCGACCAAAAAGTTCCCAAAATAAATCAGAAATGAACTGCTGAACTCTGCTTGTATCTCCACCCAGAGGCCACAGCAAATCGACAAAAAAAGAGCCGAAGCGCGGGTTAGTTGGTTGTAAAGCAAAATGAGTTAAAATGTCTTCGAATGTCGACTCGTTAACAATTGAATGAGTAGCAATGAGTACAATTTAGCAAATAAATAACAAGATATTGAAAGCAATACAACAACGACAACAACAACAACAACATGAACAATGGGGGGAAACTGAGAACTAAATACAAAACAAAACAAATTCAAACAAACAATGTAGGGTAATATATAAGTTGGACCAACTGACTATTAACTAAGTAGGAAGAAGGCGAAATTGCAAAAACAACAACAAAAATAGCAAATGAATACCTGCAAAAGAGGGGGAAAAAGTTCGCTTACAAATGATCAACATCTGAGCACGCGGTTAACGCCCCGACATAACACCCAATTAACCCGATTTTTAACAAGAACTCCGACAACAACAAGAGCAAAAACATGACCACACCAGAAAATAAAAGCAAAACACACGTACAAACTGATGTACAAACAGCAGTGAAATAAAGAGTTAGCGAAACGAACCAAATGGACCGACCATAATGATTGAGAAATTGTAGAAGTAACAACAATAACAACACCACCACCAAATGTAGTAGCTAACAATACACGTTTTTCTAATTCCCTATCCCCCCCTCTTTCCTCTCCTCTCGTATAGGAACCACAGCAGCAGCAGCAACAACTAGCCACACAACAACAAAGACAACAAAACTATACACTGAAATTCATTAGCGTCAATGAAGTCACGACAAGTGTTGCACCATCACAAATACCGTACGGCAAATTGCAAGGTTTGCATCATCACGACGCGAGGAAGTGGCGCGAATTCTTCATCGCACTCGAACCCTTCCAACGGCAATGCGCCACAGCGGGCCATCGTCTGGTGGCCGCCATGAGTGACATACGCTCCGCCGACCTACAGGGCCTGCCAACACGTCGACAGTTGTATGCGCAACATCGGGCGTTAAGTCGCGCGCTTATGGATTCTGAATTACATAATTTGCGCAAACGTGGCGCTTTACAGCTGGCACGTTTGCAGGAGTTGGCCAAGGAAACGGCGGTGACAATCGGTGCTGGTGCTTGTGCTGGTGTCGGGGCTACTGGTGGTGAAAATAGTCATAATCTACAAAATGGCAACAACAATGTGAATAATAGCAGTAACAACAACAACAGCAGCAGTAATCGCTACTACCATAGTAGCAGCAGCAACAACAACAGCAATCGCCACATCAACGGTAGCGGTGTTGGTGGCAATAAACTCTTGTCCACTATTTCATCCATCAGCCATCTCGGTTTCGGTGGCAGCTATAGCTTTAGCATGTCGCATCAACTACAAAAACAACAACACAGTAATGGCAGTCACTCACAAAATCATCGTCCCGCTGTGTCAAAGTACACGACGAGCGCAATGACGTCATGTGATGCCATCAACCACAATCAGCAACAGCCAAAACCAACAGTAGCCATTGCCACGGCAGTAGCTAATAAGGCTGGAGCAGTACCAACAGGAGGAGGAGGAGGAGGAAAAGGAGTAGAGTGTTGCGACAACATGGATGTTGCAATTAGACTACACAAAGTGACATTACTATTCAATGAGGTCGATCGCGCTGCCAAACGGCTGGAGCAACTCACGGAGCAGCGTCGTGAGCGTTTGCGTGAGCTAACGCGTCAGCGTGCGCTGGAGGATGAAATTAACGAGGTAAGTGTGACCGATAAAGTTCGTGGCGGCTTATTCAGTTGGGAGAGAAAGTGTTAAAGAAAGTTGGACTTCCTGGGATATAAACCGATAGGAGCTGATGTATTTTTAATATATTTTTTCAAATTTTCGTTTGATTCATTTTATTTTAATTTATTTTATTTTTATTACTTATTTTTATTCTCATTTAATTTTTTTGTTGTTTTGTCTTAATTTGAATATATTTTATATTGTTTTATTTTCTCTTATGTAATTTTATTTAAATTTTTTTGTATTATTTTCTATTCTATTTCAGTTAATACAATTTAATTTTAATTTATTGTTTTTTATTTTATTTTATTTATCATTTTCAATTCAAATTCCTCTGAGCTAATTTTCTTTTATTCTATTTAATTTATATTATTTTATTCTATTTAATCTAATTTCATTTTTCTTTCCATTTTTTTATTTTTTTGTTTTGTTTTATTTTATTTTATTTCATTTCATCTTATTTAATTCAATTTATTTTTTTTTTAATTTATTGATTCCATTTTATTTTCTTAAATCTTATTTTTTTATTAATTTTATTCAATTTTAAATTATTATATATTTTTTTAATTTATTCCATTATAGTTTATTTCACTTTATTTCATTTTGTTTCGCTTTATTTTATTTTGTTTTATTTTATTTCACTTTATTTTTTATTTTTTGTTTATTTTTTATTTCATCTAGTTTTTTTATCTTAATTCGTTTTATTTTGTTTGAGCTAATTATTATTTTATTCTATTTAATTTATTTTATTTTATTTTATTTTATTTTATTTTGTTTTATTTTATTTTATTCCATTTTAGTATTTATCATTGCATTACATTGTAATTTAATTTAGTTTATTTTGTTTTGTTTTTTTTTTATTTTTTTTTTTTTTGTTTTTTTTTTTACTTTATTTCTTTTTATTTTATTGAATTATATCTTATTTAATTTTAATTTATTTTCTTTCATTCTTTTTTATTTAATTTAATTTAATTTTTTATTTTATTCCATTTAATATATATTATTTTATTTTGATTTATTAATTTTTATTCCACATATTGATTTTATTGTTATTTATTTTATTTAATTTAATTTTATTTTATTTCTGTTTTATTTTTTTTTATTATATTTTTTTATTTTTTTTTTATATTATTCGATTTTAGTTTAGTTCATTTTATTTTATTTATTTTAATTTTATTTTATTTTAATTTTATTTTATTTTATTTATTATATAATATTATGTAATTCATGCTATTTGCTTCATTATATTATTTAAAAAAAATGCCCTTTGGGGTTTAGGGTCATAAATTTAATAAATGATGTGCAATATAGCTTTGGAAAATATCTCAGTGATATGTATGTACATACAATTGTAGGATTGCACAAACCTTTTGTAATCTTCATGACAAATATGACATAGTCTGTTGTAATAAGTGTTGTACTTTTTATTTGTAGTTTGCCCATTGTTGTTGTACATTTAAGACGTAAGCTGAGACACGTTCCTCCTCTTTCTCACACCAAGCAAAATCGGCTTTGTCGCCGCATCTTTTTTATGCAGTTTGTCACTTGACACTCTTTGACTTTTCAACTCTTGTCCATTAGTGATTACCTGTGGACATACATACAGCAAAAGGCTGAACTCAGCAAAAAGTGTGCAGTGAATATTGTGTATTTTTCTGTTGTAGACGTATTTCGATTTCTTTCCACCCGCCCGTCCGTCTGTTCGTTGCTCGCAAAACGTGGTGGTAACGGTGTGCCTTGAGCAAATATGCGGTGCACGATTTATCAATTTGTTAGCCAAGATGAGTTTTTTCTACGTCTCTGTGTTGTTGTGTTGTTTGCCTTTTTCAAGTCAAAATAACTGTAATGCACAGATAACCGTATAAAGCTTACATACATACTTAAGCTGGGCATGTTTCAGCCTTAAAGCTACGATAGGATGATTATGAAATTTCATCTTCGATTAATCAAAACAGTTTTGTTTCTTTCTTCAGAAGAGTGTGAGTGTCGTTAAAATATGTAATTTCGTTTAAATATTAATGAATATGTGCATATTGATAATAAGAGGATGCGGTGGATATGTAGCTGGTGATTGAGTTGAATGAACTTAAAAAAGCTGTAAAAGTGTAGTTGTAACTTTTTTAAAATTTTAAAATTTATTTGGAAAAATTTAGTTAGAATAAGTGATTGAGTCTCTTATTTAATTTATATATATATTATATATGTAACTTTTATTAGGTATGAGCTTGTATATACACGTATGTACAAACTCACTCCCTCATGTATGTATTATATCTCATTTGCGTCATTTAATTTTATTTTTCTGCCTCACGGAAGTCATTTAATTTCCCTATCTCCAACGCTCTGCTCAATTTGCATTTTTCTCTGTTAGCGTTGAAATTGATTTTCACATTATTGAAAAGTGAAAATCTCTGCAATAAATCTGGTAGCAATTAGTCGCAACTGCGTTTCAACACAACCAAGCTGGCCCCCTCCCTCCCAACCTGACTATTTATACACTAATGAATTATCGGCAAATTTCTAAATGATTTGCATATTTTGATTTATTCACACTTTCCCATATGGACAACTTAATTTTGTTTGCCAGCTTCAAAGCAATCGCGTAATGCACTGAGAATTGCGAATTTTCAAAAATAATAACAACGTTCAATGTTTTTATGAATGTAATGGGGGGCACAGCAAGCACATGGTTTTCTAACCAAAGTACGCCCGTCATACTTCTGATTCAATGCGCTTCTTCCCAGTTCATCAAGCACTACACCTAATCTCTTCCACTTGCAACGTTGCAACCCTTTTCTTCTTAATAGATGCATGATTACCTAGGCTAGGTTAGGTTGCTGGGCATCCACTCACTTCAGTTTGGTAACTAACCCATTGTGATGCCTCTTATGATTCCCCCAGATGGCCCACACCTGCTAGTCAAACCAATATGAGAAGTTGGCAAATTTGCGTAGTAATCCTTATTTCGCTCAAGTCTTTCAAGGTTGTAGCCTCTAGAGAACTCAATCTACTACTCCGAAGCACGTGGAAATCTTCAGTCTTTTGCTGGTATGCCCAGTCTCAATGTGTGCCTCATAGAACGTGTTCCGTAAGCGTACCTATCACTTTACATATCTTCTTTAAGTTTTAAGTCATGTTGACTACGTTATCCGACCACATTGCAATAACTAAATCACTTCTATCTTGAGTTAAACATCTGCGATGAATAACTCTCTTATAAGTGGAGAGATTAATGCCTAGACTCTTCTATGATGAAAGAAGTCGAAGGAAACCGTGTGTGTCTGTCATCTCGTTATCCGGTATATTACTGTGATCTGGCACTTATATTAGTTTCACAGATAACAGCTTAACGTGACGTTAAGTGATCAGATTTCAAGGCTCTTGGTACTACCTGTCCACGGATGAATATATTGATACAATTTACTTAGAGCGCCATTGAATCTTGACAATTGACAGCATCTTGTACAGCCGTCAGTTCCATTTAAAAAACGCTACAGTCAACTAGTAGGCGAAAGGTCCTGCTATCCCCAAGCTCCTTTGAGTTCACCTCATCTTCCATCCGGTTGTTTATTGTTGTTTGATTCATACAACAAAATGGAACTAGTCCATGCATTTTTGAATTATTCGGTCTTATTGGCTCTTATCTGAAATAACCTACATGTAGCACTTTGTGAAGTCAGTACTCTGTCCTTTCCAAAGCAACAGATGTTTAGAGTGAAAAGCTAAATTTATATATAAAACTTGTAGTTTAAAATTGATATTTATAAACACAAGCAGCTATTAAAGGCAACATAACCTAAACCCAATCATACTGTGTCCGATTTCACTAGAAATATTTTTTTTCCATATTTTGCTATGCTAAACTGATCTGGTATTTTACTAGTATGTTGCTGAAATATTTTTTTAAAAAATCCAATAAATCTTTATTATACTCGTTTCCATTTCATATCAGTTCAAACACCATACAACGTTGCCAATTTTACTCGCTGTGCTGAATTTCGCGATATTTTGAGAATAGATATTTTTCCTTAAGAAACAAGACACTAAACTCCTTTTGATTCTTCATTTTTTTAACGTAAAGTACGTATTCGAATAATTCAGAGACGCTGTGGCCGTCTCTCGACGTGGAATATCAAGCGGACCGAGTGTACGTGTAGTTCTAATATGAAAAAGAAATTCTTCATAAAAGTGCATAAGCCGTTTGGAGATGCACGACCAAAAATTTTCGTCTTCTGGTGCTCTTTCTAAAAAATGCATTACTATATCTTTGCGGTTCTTAAAATTTTTAATGAATATTGAAGCTTACCATACGAAAAATAACATTTCTTTCTGGCTGTATAGTCCTTTTTTTGGTTTTGTACTGAAGAAACTGTATACAATGTTGCCAATTTTCACGAAAGCCAAATTGGCAGTTTCTTGATTTGGAAAAATTTCGGAACTTCAGAAATTCCGAACTTAAACACATAAGCAAATTGGAAAAACTCTTTTTAAAATTTGTTATGTTAATCTCTTCCCGAGACGAGGTAGCCAATGCACTCCCAGGAAAGATTATCTTGGCTATTACGATTTTAGTCAGAAATAACATCGCAATTCTCTTTCAGCTGCTATGGAGAACCTCCTCCACCTTAAACCTTTGAAATTATTCTTCCAATCTAATTAGACATTGCTTTATCAATTAATATTAACTTTAATCAAAAATTATTATGCTTTAAAGTCAACAACAATTTGAATACTAGTAAATTGTGATTAATGAAAAGTAAAATTTTTCTCCAAGTATATTCGCATTCGCTAATCCCCAGATATTTATGCATTCGCCTTACCGCGTAAGCGCAGTGAATCGTTGCGCACGCGCACTTACACATTATTCTTAAACGCCAGACGACGGATGGATAAACAGCAGTCTGTAGCTTTCCTTGCGAATTTCGCGCAGAGCATAGATAAGGCTAGCCAGCCGAGCCGAAAGCAAAAGCCTC